CCCCATAATTAATTTTAATTCAGTAAACCTTGTCTGCAAACGACAAACAAGGTCACTGGGGGAAACGGAGTTTTTTTGTCCCCCATAATTAACTTTTATTTAGTAGACCTTGTATACAAACGCCAAACAAGGTCTCTTGGGGGGGGGGAACGGAGTTTTTTTCGTCCCCCATAATTAATTTTTATACAGTAGACCTTGTCTGCAAACAGCAAACAAGGTCACTAGGGGGGAAAACAAAATTTTTCGTCCCCCGTAATTAATTTTAATTCAGTAGACCTTGTCTGCAAACGGCAAACAAGGTCACTGGGGGGAAACGGAATTTTTCTTCCCTCATAATTAATTTTTATTTAGTAGACCTTGTCTGTAAACACCAAACAAGGTCACTGGGGAAAAATGGAGTTTTTTTGTCCCCCATTATTATTTTTTATTCAGTAGACCGTGTCTGCAAATGGCAAACAAGATCACTAGGGAAAAATGGAGTTTTTTTTGTCCCCCGTAATTAATTTTTTTACAGTAGACCTTGTCTGCGAACGGCAAACAAGGTCACTGGGGGAAACGAAGTTTTTTCGTCCCCCATAATTAATTTAAATTCAGTAGACCTTGTCTGAAAACGGCAAACAAGGTCACTGGGGGGAACTGAGTTTTTTCGTCCCCCATAATTTATTTTTATACAGTAGACCTTGTCTACAAACGGCAAATAAGGTCACTGGGGGGAAAACGGAGTTTTTTCGTCCCCCATAATTAATTTTTATTCAGTAGACCTTGTCTGCAAACAGCAAACAAGGACACTGGGGTGGGGGGGAAACAGAGTTTTTTTGTCCCTCGTTATTAACTTTTATTCAGTAGACCTTGTCTGCAAATGGCAAACAAGGTCACTGGGACGAAAACGGAGTTTTTTCGTCCCCCATAGATAATTTTTATCTAGTAGACCTTGTCTGCAAACGACAAACAAGGTCACTGGGGGAAAACGGAGTTTTTTCGTCCCCCATAATTAATTTTTATTCAGTAGACCTTGTCTGCAAACGGCAAACAAGGTCACTGGGGGAAAACGGAGTTTTTTCGTCCCCCATTATTAATTTTAATTCAGTATACCTTGTCTGCAAACGGCAAACAAGGTCACAAGGGGGGAAACGGAGTTTTTTCGTCCCCCATAATTAATATTTATACAGTAGACCTTGTCTGCAAACGGCAAACAAGGTCGCCGAGGGAAAAAACGGAGTTTTTGACCATACATACCACCAATTTAAAGCTTCAATACTTAACAACATATGCCTGAAGTCATCCTAAATATTAAAGTAGATCACAAAAGAAAAATGCTCGACAGAGTGCAAGAAACAAATATACAGTTTCACATCGCCTTCTAGTAAAGTGAGAACGTTGATCTTCAATCTAACGTCTTCACTTGAGGGGCTAGTTGTATGGGGAGATACTGAATAAGGGCCGATAATGTAAGAAAGGACGGTATCTTAAGCGGGTTCGGGTTCTTAGCAACTTTCAAACATATCGGCATTTACACAAAAGGAAGACATATCGGCTTGTCAGCGACCGACACGTGTCGTCAGCAACTTGACACCTAGCGCAAGTTGTTTGCATGCCATGCAGACACCTGTCACTTAATCAAGCTATAAATAATCAGGTTTTAGGTCATAGTTAAGGTAGCATTTATTACTCTCTCTATGCTCTCTCTCTTCTTCTTATATTCTTCAAACACTTTCTGACTTTGTCATCGGAGTGGTTATCCCCGGATCCACCGCGGGGTTAGCTAATCTCTTTTCTTTGTGTAGGTTCTCGTCTGGCCGATAGGAGCTTAACGGGTTGCATACTCGAGCTTTGGATCTTGGAATCGAGTTGTCGGATCCTTGCATGAACAGGTGGTTACATGTGTTGGTTGATGTGTGAGTGAAGGATGAGCTGTGGTTGTGAGATGTGGGGGTCTGGTTGCTTGGTGTATTGGAGGTGAGTGGTGTTTTGGGTAGATGGTGTGGTAGCATGGGCTTCTGCAATTGCGTGAGGGAGTGGGAAGTTTGGTTTTCTTCGGTGTGGTTGAGGTTAAGAAAGATTAGAGAGGGAGAGAGAGCGGTGTAGGATAAAGGGCAGCAGCTAGGTGGAAGAATATGGCTTGGGAATTCAGCTTGGACCTCGAAATTGAAAAACTTGAAACTCGAACCTCAATCCAAAGCAATCTTACACACACAAAGAAAACCGAGGAGAGGATTGGGACATAAAATAAAATAAGTAAAATGAAAATAAATAAAATAAATAGAAAATAAGTGAAATAAAACTAAACTAATAAAAATTAAACAAAAACTATACAAGCAAATAATGTAAAATAAAATAAGAAATAAACCACAAACTAAATAAAACTATGAAAGTGACAAGGAAAAGAACGAAATAAAATAAATCCAAAGCAAATAAAATACGAAAATAAACTAGAAACCAATTAAATAAATAAATTAAACTAACACATACTAAAACTAAGAAATAAACTAGAAACTTTATTTAAAAGAAAACAAGAGAATAAAAGGGAAAAAAAGATAAATAAACACGAAAAAGAACCTAAACACTATCACTAAGAGTGACATAAATGTCACTCATCACCCACGTTCGGGGACAAGCGAACCATTTACAGCCTACGTTCAGGGACAAGCGAACCATCTACAACCCATGTTTGGGGACAAGCGAACCATCTACAGCCTACGTTTGGGGAGAATTGAACCAACCACAGCCCACGTTCGGGGACAATCGAACCATCATCATTTTAGTGATCATCTACCAAGCGAAGAAGATTCACGGCGCAAGGTTCTCGATACACAGAGACTTACAATTTCATCATCACATCGGACAAGTTTTTTCTCAAGCATGGAAAATTGTCGGTCCTTGCCACCTCTCAAGGCGAAGAAATCAGAGATTATATCATCTATCGACTTTCCTCAAGCATGGAAAGGATCTCAACAAACATCATTTGGTGGATTTCTTCAAGCATAGAAAACTGTCAGATTCATCTATCGACTTTCCTCAGGCATGGAAAGTATCTCAACAAACATCATCCAGTGGATTTCTTCAAGCATAGAAAACTGCCAAATTCATCTGTCGACTTTACTCAGGCATGGAAAGTATCTCAACAGACATCATGCGGTGGATTTCTTCAAGCATAGAAACCCACTAAACTCATTTGTCACTGATATACTGGTGTCAAATAAGCATTATATCCCTTTACTCTTTTATCTATGAAACTAACATTTTTTTGCAGGTATCGGTGTATAAAGAGTGATTTAGGATCGCATAACATATTAAATCATTCTCCGTCCCTATTAACTACTTTGACTATTGTTTTCGAAACTGGTGTTTCTACAAACTCGGTCAAAGTGGGGACTTGTGTAGACACCTAAATATGTCTTCCCAAAACCAAACTCGATGATGAACAATCTTTCACTGCCATTTTTGGTCGGGTTGAGTATTTTTATCCCGGGAGTGCTTAAAATCCATAATCAATCAAACTCAGTTTACATAATAGTCAATGGATCAATCCTAATGATTAGTCAAAGCATAGTCCAAATTATATTTTTGGTCCGAACCCTTTTTATTAATTTCATATTATTTATTAATTAAGCCTAATTAATGAATAATAAACCTAAATAGCCCGAAATTATGAAACGACACTTAAAAAATGCTGAGCGTAATTAGGGTTAAAATGAATCTGGACGTAAAATGGAAAAAAGTCCACCGTGTCACGGCATCATGTGCCACGCCAAGGTGGAATTTTCCGCGTTGCGGTATATTTTTCCGTGTCACGGTGCACATACTGTGACACGGGAAACTTCCGTGTTTTCCCCGCGTCCCTTCTTTTACGCGTTTTACCCCAGCTAATCATTTTAGGGCAAACAGTGTCCCGCGTCACGGTACTCTATGCTATGTCGCGGCATTCTGTTGCGTGTCGCGGCAATTTCTTCCATGCCGCGGCGCCGGTTTTATCTTTTTAGGGTTCCATATGTTCCCTCTACTCATTTTCTCTATAAATACCCCCTCATTTTTTCATTTCGGGGCATCAATTAATTATATCTTCTCTCTTCAATGCTCTAGCGTAAACACTAGCCTACCTTATTCTTCAAAAATACTTCCTTTAAGCACTCCAAGGAGTCCGTACTTTACCCGAGGTTCCATCCTTAAACCAAGGCGTGAAAGGTAGAACCGTTAGTGGGTTTGGCGCCAAATCAACTCTAATTAATTTAATTTTAATTATTGTTTGATTTATTTCCTTGAAGTTACCAACTCGTTAATTGTTTTAATGTTTTATAGTTGCAAGCAAGAAAAATCAAAGTAAGCAATCATGTTCCTTTTATTTCTATTATTTTTCTCACGATTTTATATTGTTGGATCATTGTTAAATTGCTTCAAATATTAATGTTTATTCTATTATATATTTATTGATCACCATATTGCATGTATATAAAGGGAATATGTAATTGAAAATTACGGCTAATAAGATAATTTGGACAACCAGTTTAGGTTCCTTTTTAATCTTGTTATTAAATCAAGTTATCACAATATTTTAGAATTATATGTTGCATTAATATTCAACCAATTTAGCGTAATAATAGTTTGGAGCGAATTGAATATTTGTTTGCATGCCTTTGAGATCGTAGGAATCACTTTTCACAATAAGAATCCAGTAGAGGCCAATACAGGCGAATGTGACTTTATGACTCACTTGGTACCATCATCTCCGATCCTCCTCGTGGTTTCGAACCATATGGAGTTAGTAATCTCATGGATTATGGATGGGGTGTATCCTTCACGGGTTAATCGTTGTTGTCTTTCGATGTTCCTTATCTTGGATGCCTTAAATGAACCGTGAACGGTTTACAAATTCCTTAAAAACTTGTTGGCGGCTCCCTACTTTCCTTGACCCTAATCGTACATATCAATTCTCAGTTCCTATGAGTGTCAAGCATATTCACACATGCTTTAGCGTAGACGCACTTCAAACGACCCTAAAATTACCATCTTGATTTGTTACGCTTTAGATTTCAAAAAAAAATCCTCAAATGAATAATCAAAAGAGAATTATTGTACATGTATCATGCATGGTTATCATTATTTATGTTTTTCTATTTCCTTTTTTCTTAAAACTTCCATGAAAACTTACTATATATACATACATATATTCAAAGCAGTTAAAAACTACTGCCAAAGTTTCTCCCACTTTCTTTATATAATTAAATTAATCCCTAATTTCCTTAACCTCTTTTTCCCTCTTTTTCCACTAAAAACAACAAAAGGTTTAATTTGTAACACAATGATCAATTAGCTTCCAACCCCAAGAAATTAATGAAAGGAAGTCTGTTTAAGTTTGCATTTGCACTTGTTGAGTATCCACTATTAACAGCTGAGTCACCACTTCCTGACCCGCCCGAGTTTGAATCGGATTGTCCACAAAATTCCACCCTACTTGGAAACATCTCATCTGGTTGTTTGGCAAGGATATTAATGTAATTTCCCTTCATTGCTGATTTCCACATGCTTTCCTCAATTGAACCTACAAAATCAAATGAGAATATTAAGTAGGTAAAGGAAAGGACATACATTTTCAGCAGTAATACAAAATTGAGTAAAAACAATTTAAAGAACAGTACAATACAATATGTTATTAGTTGTACCTTAAACTTGTACGGGTTTTTCCTTTGTTACATCGCATCGCATTCTATAGGAAACCCTCCTCGTATAAGGAATATTTATCATGTTTGAACATAGAACGTCTATATATTTTCTGTAGTGTTGTTAAATTTCAAACCGAAACCGTTTAACTGCCCGAAACCGATCGACCCAAATGAGAACCGAACCGATTAAAAACCGATTTTTTTGAAATCGAAAACCGACCCGAACCGTATTTTAGTAAACCCGAAACCGAATCGACCCAAATAATGTTAAACCGTATAAGAACCGAACCCGTTAACAAACCGAACCGAAAAAGAACCGAACTAAAAGAAAACCGAACCGAAAAAGAACCGAACCGTATCTAACCCGAAACCGGTTCCAACCCGAAACCGTTTAAACTGGCAAAAAAAACCGCTTACACCGAACCGTTAGCAAACTGCTACCCGTTTGCACCGAACCATTTAAAAACCGAACTGATTATAAATCGAACTGGTTATAAACCAAACCGTTTATGAACCAAACCGCTTCTAAATCGAACCGTTTACAAACTTTTTTATATAATTAAATGGATTTTTTTTTTTACGGGGATATAATTAAATGGATTAAATATTAGAAATCTTAGAATATATTTTTTAAAATAGCAAGGCAAATCATTCATTAAGGTCTTAAGGATAATCAGTATTCACAAACAAGAGCAAAACAAGCAGGCTCAGGCCCTGCCTCAAACTATTAGCAACACTACTGCCTCTAGTCATGTATACATTTGAGGTGATGAAACCAAATGAAAAAAAAGCTTGTAATATTAAGTACCAAGGCTTGGCTGAAGGCGTAATAAATAAAATTAATTCACAGAGACTATTAAGCATATGATTACATTAATTCTGTGAGTAATAATGAAATAAAGATGGGAGTGTGCTAGTGACATGAATATACTATTAGGCTATGTTTTAATTCAGATTCAACTATAATTTAGTAAACTTGAAATGGAACCGATATGAATAACGTTAAAGTGGTTAAACAATCGAAGAACCGAACCAGTTATAAACTGAACTGAAAAAGAACCGAACCAGTTAAAAACTGAACCGAAAAAGAATCGAACCAGTTATAAACTAAACCAAAAAAGAACCGAACTGTTTCTAACCCGAAACCGTTTCCAACCCGAAACTGTTTGAACCGGGATAAAAACCGTTTACACCGCACCGTTTACTACCCGGACTGTTTACAACCCGAACCGAATTAAAACCGCTTAAGAATAAACCGAAACCGAATCGAACCGATAACTATTTAAACTGAACCAAAACCGACCCGTGAGACAATTAAACCGATTCCAAACAGACCCGATTAAATACCGAACCGATTTCAAACCGAACCGAAACCGAACTGTCAAACCGTTTTGACAGTGCTAATTTTCTGCATTATTTGTTAAATTTTATAGAGAATTTTTTGTATTTATTCAATGAAAGTTACTAGGAAGATTAATGCAACAAGCATAAATAGTTATATGCTAATTATTTCTTATGCCAAAAACAGATAGAAAGTGACAAATACTGAAATACATAATGCATGATTTGACAATGTTATACCGTGCGTTATGCCGGCAACTTCCGGACGACCATGCAATAATATATGTACTTATTAGTTCTTTAAGCCAACGACCAATTAAGTAGGTCACTTCTCGTCTCTAAAAATTATTCCTATTTAGACAATAATTTCAACAAAAAATAAATAAATAAAATAAAATAAAAGTTGAAATAGGAAAAACTTAGGTCAAATGACTACAACCTCGATTTTTCATTAAATACATCATTTAGACTTTTAATCTATTTCTAAACTAACTTTGATCACGATTTATTACTAATGCATATTTTCAATCAACGGAAAACTAAAGATTTTAATATTTAAACTATTGCATAATTATGCCTACTAAAAACATGTTCCGTCAAAGCGATCTGTTTATTTGAGATTATTAAACCAAACACGTGGCTGGTCAAAATGATCATCTATGAGAGTAATATGCTCTTGATAAAGGCTAAAAACAATCCATTTATTGAAACCAAACATGTGTCAGGTAAAACTAATTCGTTCATCGAAAGTTATTAAACTAAACACGTGTCCAGTCAAAATGATCATATTGAATGTAATATGGTCAAAATAAAGACCGGAAACAATCCATTTTTCTAAAACGGTCCCTTTCAATCCTTAATAGAAAATATATGTGGGAACTTTAAACTAAAACTAGCTTTAAACTTAGGTTTTTTTTTTTTTTTTTTTTTTTTTTTTTTTTTTTTTTTTGTGCGAAGCTTAAAACTTGTTCCCTAAAGCAAAAGTATCTCAACTACAAAGGCAAGACCGAAGCCAATCGGAGGAAAAAAGACACACGTACACCATTATTATTCTATATTTAAACAATTAATAGATAACATTATACTCCATATTATGTAACTAATAAATCTCTAAACTTTATTGAGATGATGATCTGATCTATAATTCATGTTTCAGTTTTGTACATACCATTAACTATTTCATAAGTAGTGGATTACATACATATACATTATAACCACTTTTAGCAAACATTTTCTGAATTAATCAATTTATAACTATAAGATATGATGCAAGTACTTTTCTTTATTATATAAGATACTTTAAAATAAAAGTTTTCCAAAAGAGTAACGTAAACTAAAACTTAGGATACCTCTTAAGGGAAAAAGAAACCTTAAAAAAATAATGTAAAGAAGACAAAGAAGTTAGGAAAAAAAAACAGTACGTACCCTTTTGACGGTCAGACTTGCAGGGTTGCTGGTATTGTTGCTCCTGACAAACGGGCGGGTCATAACTGATTCTGGGTCCGGAATAATACCCACTCACACCCACACCCACACCCACACCCACACCCGCGTCCGCACCCGCAGCCAATGTAGTAAAGAGTGAGAGTTCAGTACAAGTTGATGCACCAGTATCATGATCCACAATTTTATTATTGTTAATATTATAAATCATGTTACTAGTAATACTGGTAGTAGAGTCACTTCCAGTATTACTTTTTTTTATCATGGCCGTAAACTCGTTGTTACAGCCATGATCATAAAATTGTTGTGGCTGCATTTTGTTGTGGATTCTTTTCGTAGTCGTAAATAAATTCGACTTTTCACGATCCTCTCTCGCCTGCATAACATGCCAATGGTTCTTAACTGCATTGTCTGTTCGGCCAGGGAATAATCGCGCTATGATTGCCCATTTGTTCCCGTACATTTGTTGTGCTGTTTTTAGTCGCTCTTCTTCGTCGTCTGAGAATGGTTTCCTGTTTATCTTCGGATCGAGTTGATTGAACCACCTTAATCTGCAACTCTTCCCTACATTTTTTCGCCAACTTTGTTAGTTAATTCATGAATTAAAATATATATATTCTCGGTTTAAATTTAGTCGTCATATTTTTTTTTTTTTTTTGAATTGAAAACTGTCTAATTTTGATATATTTAATTTTTGGTTTTTCAACAGTTCAAAAAATTGCATGTTAGTGGTTGCTTAGTATGGCAAACTGCTGTCACTTTTAACAAATTTAGTATTAGTTATTTTCAAATAAGGTAACTAACAAACTGACCGGAACCCAACAAATCTTGTTCCAAATTACATTAATTAAATAAATATCTTGCTTAAAAAAAAAAAAAAAAAAAAAAAAAAAAAAACTATTCAATAAACTTGGTGCGATGAGACTCAAAAGTTTAACCACTAATTAAAGTAATAATTTTTTTTTTCTACAATGTATCAACATAAAATAATCAAAAGAGTTTACACAAAAATCGATATAAAACATGTATATACTTTCTCCATCCGGAATTAATGGTCAGATTGGTCACACATCAAAACTGTCACATAAATCATATATCATGAATGCGACAACTGAATCTAGACAAATAAATGAATTGCATGTTTTATCGATTTAAAATTTTAAAAAAATATACCTGATCTACCCTGAAGTTTCTCAGCAATGACATTCCAATTCTGAGGGCCAAACTTAAGAACAAGTTCCTTAAGTTTAGTATCTTCTGCAGGCCTCCAATGTCCTCTAGAACAAAGCTTTGAAGGCCTGCGTACATTTCTAGCAGCCACCAAAGATTCTTGACAGTTTTCGCCTTTCAACCCATCAACAGAAGAAGGCGAGGACCGTATCGGAAACCCGGTGTTGGTATTCTCATGATCCTGACGGTTTGTTATGGTGTTGGTACAAAGGCAAAGGTCTAGAGCAGGGGGACACGGATGAGTTGAGTTCGAGTTTGAGTTCAAAGAAAAGAGACTATTATTATTCATGTTTTCATCCATTAAATGGTAAATGGAATGATGAGAAAGAAAGATGAAAATGGAAAAAAAAAAAAAAATAATGAGAGAAAAGGAAAGAAAAGAACGGTTGAATGAAAATGAGAGAAAAAATAGAGGGTGGAAAAGAAAATATAGGAGATGAGAGATGAAGGCACACGAGTCTCTCACACTGTTTATTGTTGGGTTTTGTCTTTGTATGTCTGACTTAAGTCAGAGTTCCTCATTTTGAGACTGATTTCTGACCCACACGCCCACTCGTTACTCCCTTTACTTTCTTATTGCCCAATCACTTAACTTTTGCATAAGATTATTGTCAATATTGAATATTTGTTATAAAGTTATTGTAAATTACTTTTTTCCCTATTCAATAATACTCCCTCCGTCCCTAAATACAATGCCTCTTTTAAGCATTATTCATCACATAATAAAGAGAAAGATGCATTGTATTATCGGAGGGAGGGAGTAATAACAATACAAATTTAGTTCTAAAATAATTTGTGGTCGGCTAATTAGCATGAATCGTCACGAGGAACCGTTAAGACTTTTTACAGTCCCTCAAATGTGTGTTAAAACGTACTCCCTTCGTTTTTTTTTTTATTTGCATCACTTGCAAGAGCGCGGAGTTTTAGGAGAACGAATCAATAATGTGAGTGGATGAATAATTTATTATGTTAAAAGTAATGTGGGGACCATGAAAGTGAAAGTATGTGAGAGAGTAGTGGGGACCATGAGATAGAAAAATGATAAATTCATTTGGGTGGAGGTTTAAAGTAAGAGAGAGAAATAATAGAATATAGTGTAAAGTTACTATATATAAAAGTGATGCAAATAAAAAAAACACCCATAAAATGAAAATGATGCAAATAAAAAAAATAAAAATAAATAAAAATAAATAAAAAAAAACCCGGAGGGAGTATATGTATATTTCAATTTTTAACACTTAAAATTTTAATAACCTCTTATTAGTGAAATATATGATACGGAGTAGATGATACGAAATTTACAAAATCTCACTTGATTATATTGTCTTTCATACTTCTTCCGTTTTCTTTTAGATGCAACACACTCTTTAGTGCGGTAATTAAGAAAGGTGGGGTTTACATATATAATAAACTTTAAAATAGGATGAGTGGTTGTTAGGAGTGTAATTTAGTGGGTCATATGCTTTAAATAAGAGATATAGTATATTTTTTCCCTAAAGTAACTTTTCTTTAATAGTGTATTGTAAGTATTGTGACATTTCCTTTTTAGGGAAGTGTTTCAAGTAAAAGAAAACGAAGGAAGTAGATTAAAAAGAAATATTTGAAAGTTTGTTTGACCTTATTAATATTTGCAATGAAGCAAAACAAAGGGGAAGAATGTTCCTTTTTATTGTTATAATAATTAAGTTTCACGGTCTCCACTACACATATTTGATCTTGTACATATTCAATTTGACGAATCTAATAAAATTCCACATGATATTAGTTTTGATCTTTACAACAATTTATTTTCTTAGTCAAAGTTTTAAACGTTATCTCCACCAAAGTCAAAATGTAACAATAGAAAAGAAACGATGGGTCAACTTAAAGTTAGCTTAATTTAATAAATTTATAACATGTAATCGTCAGAAGTTATCTATAAAAACTGAACATGTTACCGCAAAAACAGGCAAGCAGTTATCTGACGTTTTATATTCAAAATTGATATACACTTGGTGCAATCCAATGGATTTGTTATATGCAATTACTTCATCTCATTGAAAAAAAAAATTTAGCATGGAAGTCTCATTACTTTTTTAAAAAAAAAATATGGAACTAGTAAAAGAAAAAAAAAAAAAAAAATCAAATTTCAATGCATATTTGTCCAAACTAGTGTAAATTGTAATGAAAGAACTCAAATGCAGACCTAAAAGTATTCATTAATTTTGAATCATTTTTTGTATGACTACCTTGACTGCCAATATTGAAAGTCATTTTATACAAGTGAAGTGCTCGACATCTTCTTATACTTTAAATCACCAAAAGGCTAATTAGGAAATATATCATGTTTTGATCATTGAATTCACAAGTGACACTTGTTACTATGCTGCACAATCTTTTCGTGTAATTGCAACACTATGCATAGAAATTTCAAACAATTCCAAAAATCAGCAAAATTAAGACAACATTCAACCATTTCACTCTTCCCCTAAATGTCTTTTGATGGAAAGGTGCACAAATAACATTTAAACGTTTGAAATAAATGAATAACTACATATCTCTTTTCTCCCATAGATGACAAATTACCTCATCACATATTATTACATTAAAAAAACCCTAATACATAAAAGTTCTTATATTTCCTCTGTTTTTTTAGTTAACATCTTTCTATTATCACGCTTGCCAACTGTAGGGAATAATTTCAAGCTTGAACCCCACTGTGATCATACACTAAAGTACGGTGGTGTCCAAAAGGGAAGAAGATAGAGCAAAAGAGTCGCCAACAAGTTTTAGGAACTTGTAAACCGTTCACAGGGTGAAGATTACACCCTTTAACGATCCAAGAGTTCGTCAACTCCATAAGGTCTAGAACCAAATAAGGGTTCGGGGATGAAGGTACAAATCCAACCTAAAAGAGATTGAACCTTCCCTAATAATAGGCCTCTACTTTATTCTGATCGTATTCATGTGCGCTTTCTGATTAACATGCAATCAATAGGTTTAACCCTAAACATGTTTATCTATGTTGGTTGAATTTAATGCACAAATAAATCTATTATTGACGATCACTTGAATTATAATCACATTAACCCTAACAAGATTATTAATGATCTTATTAAGCGTGATTACAAGTACCAAATTCCCTTTAAACATGCATAAAAGGCATGATCAAACAATAACAATAAAAATCAACAACATAATAAATAATCAAAAAATATCATGAATAATAATTATAATAATCGTAATAATAATAATAATAATATCATCATAAATAAAATAATCGTCATCAAAATAATAATAATAATATTCATAATCATCATAAATTATAATCATTATAATCATAATCATGTTCATGTTAAAACATAATAAAAATAGCAAGATCCTAGACATGATACTAACAAGATTAACTACAAACCCTAGCATGTCACTAAACAATAAAAATCAAATCTTTAACCCTAACATGATACTAACAATCATAAATATTAGGAAGAGAATAAAAGACATCGCAGGAATCATAATAAGCATATTTGATATTATAACCTTTTCCGTAAACATGATACTAGGAATATCATAATAACAATTTAAACATGATTTCTACATCATAATATCAATCAAAACCATTAAAGCACTTACTTTGATGCCTCGTACCTCTTTCTAATAACAAAATACACACGTTAGTAACTTCAAGGAAAACAATAAAACAACAATTAAATTAAATAATTGAAAGAGAGATTTGGGACCAAACCCTCAGAAATTAAACCTTTAACGTCTAGGGCAAAGACAACTTCGAACATGGCTAGGTGTTTCTAGATCTTGTGAATGCGGAATTTTGTATGTAAAAACAAGGTTAGAAAAAAAAAAGATGAATGAATTGATTAAGAGAGGATTAGAGAATTAATGATTGCGAATGAAAACTGATTGTAGGTGAATCAAAACGGGGTTTTTAATACGTTATTTATAACGAAAATTAGCCAAAAAGATAAATTATCAAAACAGAGCACTTGGCGCACGTATAACAGAGTTGGCGCTAACCCTGGCTAACTGGCGCCAGGCACCAACACTAACGCCAGGCGCCAATGGCTGGTGCCAGGCGCCAGGCTAGTTTTTGACGTGTTTTCGAAAATCAGATAAGTTTTCCGTACTGGAGGATAAAATCGTATATTTTCCTCAAAAATGCTATTTGATTTTAATTAAAACTCTTAAAAGTCAACAAAAGTCAATTTATCAATGCTAATTGAATTAGGAATGAAAAGAACCTTCTAGAAGAATCTAGAAGACTAAACCATTCCTTATTCCATTAGGTATGATAAATCATATTAGGCCCTCCCCTAGATCATTGGGCCGCATATAAAGCTCAAACCAGGCCCATTTTAGTAAATTGGCCATAACTTCCTCAATATTCATCGGAATTGGGCTTATAATATATCGTTAGAAAGGTCTTGTCAAGCCCCATCCAACTACACTACCATTGGACCCATATCATGGACCAACCAAATTGGATTGGCTGTTTTCTTAAAATAAGTTTTCAAAAACAGAGAGAAGAGAAAAGAAATTAAAACTTTCCGCAACACTAAACTTTCCACACTTTCGCTTCATTCGATTATGATTCGACGTGAAAGGTACTCATCACTGGTTTAGTTTTGGGGAGACACAAATGGGTGTCTACAGAAGCCCCCACTTTGACTGAGTTTGGAGAAACGCAAGTTTCGAAAACAAAAGTCAAAGTATCGATAGGGACGGAGAATGATTCAGAACGTTCTGCGATCCTAAACCACTCTTGTAACGCCAATACATACAAACTAGCGTTAGTTAAACAGATAAAAGAGTTAAGAAACTCCTATCTTGCACCGTCGAGCACACGTCTCTGAAAGTAACTGATTGTTTTGATGACCTCCTACAAGCTAGAGAACGACATCCCGCTTGAAAACCGCTACGCCCGTAACTGCTTCCAAATTAGAAGATTGCTTCGCCTGAAACGATCCTCCTCCGCTATGATAATATTCCACATCCAAGGGAATACTATCGAAGATTGCTTCACTTGAAACAATCCTCAGTTGTTTGTGACAACTCTCTACAATCTAGGGAACGCCACCTTGCTGTTTCGATGTTCACTCGTCTCTGAACAAAGAGCTTCCTTTTGACATTTTCACGCGCCTCCGAACAAAGAGCTTCTTTTCTTTTTTTAGATATGTTCACGCGCCTCTGAACAAAAGAGCTTGAAAATAGGATGATCTTTGATGATATGTCCACGCGTCTCTGAACTAAAGAGCTTTTTTTTTTATATGATCTTCTGAATTATGTGTCCACGCGTCTCTGAACGAAGAGCTTGATAATAGGATGCCTTTGATGATATGTCCACGCGTCTCTGAACGAAGAGCTTTTGATGATATGCCCACGCGTCTCTGGAGCAAAAGAGCTTGAATAAAATGTCCACGCGTCTCTGAACAAAAGAGCTTTGATGATATGCCCACGCGTCTCTGGAGTAAAGAGCTTTGATGAAGTGTCCACGCGTCTCTGGAGCAAAGAGCTTTGATGGAGATGTTCACGCGTCTCTGAATAATAGAGCTTCGGTACTTAAACGTTTGTTGCGATAATATTCTGAAGAAAAATTTCCGAAGACCAACGTTTGTCGATCTCTAAAGCTCGCCTGAACTTTGCTTCCGCTAAAACCAGTATGTCGGTGTCTCCGTGATTA